CAGCAGTTTCAGTCAGCTGCACACGGAGCAGAGAGGCTGCGATAGCAACACAGACTGAGTGTGACACCATGACTCCACTGTATCTTTACATAGAGAATAGAGTTGTTTGCTGCTACATTAATGTTCTAAATCTCATATATATATATATATATATAACCTTTAAGAAACTTAAAGTCTTAATATTTTCTCAGATATGGCAATTTTGGAATATGTTAACATACCTCTCAGGGAGTTATTTTTTCAAAATATAGAAAACCATTAACTTAAGCAGAACTGGATAAGGCAGGTTGAGGGAGAGTGAGTCGTCTGACTCCTTTATGACAGATAAGATGAGAGGTTGAGGTAAAATAAGAGGTCCCCACAGACAGCCAGTGTAGTTTTAGCAACCTGGATTCAGTCTGTAATCAAACTGCATGATGTTAGAGATGGGCAACACTCTTACATAGATTCTATTTATTTTCAATTCAAAAAGAGTGTCCACTAACTGAAGTAATAGTACAGTACACTGTTCTTCTGCTGAGGAGCTTGTGTTCCATCTTTTTTGTGTCTGATTTCATATGCTGAATAATGTGAGAGCATGGGGGGCGTACCGGCGGCTGTGTGAGTCCGATGACATGAGTGATGTTTTTGCTGTGTATTTTCATAAGTGTGACTTTATTTTCTCTGTGTGGTCATGTGTTGTATCTTTTGAGTGAAGTCAGATTAATGAAAACAGGTGACTTGATCCAGTGTAATGAAAACATTGCATGTATTTAATTGGAAGCCTGATGATGTTTATAGCTTTTCTATAATTCCTCTGTGGCCTTCTTATAAATTGAGTCAATAAAGTATGCTTGGTGAACTATACCCTCTATATTTATGTCATCTTACTTTCCTAATTTGACTTGGATTTGACTCAGTAATATATGATATTTAGCATGTATTCATGCTGTTAAAGATTAAGAGTTCAGCAGGCTGTCCAAAAAGTTGGCAATAGAGGCCAGCTTTGGGCTAATAACTACATTTATATTGCATTTTGAGACAGAGAGTGGTACATATGTGGGTATCTCTACATCTAAATCAGTGACTTTGTTTACAGTAGAAATGAGTACAGAACAGTAATCACAAGTAGCAAGAGTAAAGATTAGCCCACCAAACATGATTTACTCACACACTATGTTTTAATGACCCTTTGTATATTAGCAACATGCCGTTTAACCTCAGTGTGTCAAAATAACCCAAACACCAAAAACCTGTTGAGTTCAAAAATACCTGGAATAATTTCAGTTCCCAAATATCAATATCAATCAGCAGATACATGAACTGACATCAGCACAATAAACTGACTAAAGTAATGAACAGTTTCTTCTTTGGATTTCTGTCTCATCATTGTCATGATTTTAGTTTTATTTAATTATATAGTGCCAATTAATAAAGATAATCTTCTTCTACCCATCACTATTGTAGCATAAAGATGCAGCAGAAGAAGATCACTCTCCTTCAAAGGGGAACATTATACTTTTTTGTTACAAACATCACTGTATAAATCAGTTACTCCATCCTAAAATAGACTTTCCGTTTTTCTTATTAGATTAAGGCACAAATAATGTGCACAGAAATTTCTCCCATGAAGTGTAAGACTCCAGTATTTTAAGAACATCAGATATTGCATAAAATGATAGATAGAGCTTCTCTACTCCACTGTTAACTGAAACTTTACACTAATTTCAACAAAGAATATTACCTTGAAATGAATGAGACATCTCTGCATTAAAGCTGCAGAAGTACATGAGACAGATAATCTATGGAAAAATCAGGTTCCTCTGGCTCCTCCTAGTGCTCCTAATGGCATTTGCAAGAATGCAACGGGCCTGAACAAAAACCACCAATTAGAGCTGAGAGAGATAGTTGATTGCTGAGTCGCATTCCCAGGTAGTCAAATACTGACGCTGGGAATGAGACTCAATAATCAACTATCTTTAACCCGCAGCGTCTTTCTAGCTTTCTAATCTTTTGGCCTTTAATTCCTTTTGCACAAAATCCTTGCTCAGCAAAGATGGTAAATACTATCAAATTGTTTATTTAAACTGGTATGAATATAACTTGGGCTGTTACAATCCAGACCAGGTCTCTATTTGAGACCTGCTTTTATTTGTCAAAATATGTAGCTACACCAGGCTAGAAAAGGAGACTGATGTCTAATTGGGCGTCTGCTTTTAACTGACATTTTACAGTATATACATAATAATAATGCATAATTTTGGATTATTATTATTATGCTATTAGTTAGCATAATACAAAGAAATACACAATTTATGCTTATATGTTGGTAGAGAATGGTGCACTTGCACTGAACCAACATGCAGCATCATGTAAACTGTTAAATTACTGCAGTAGTACTGTAGTAATAACGGGGTCATGGGAAGGAGTCTCTTTTAATAAAAAAGCAGTGGTTAATTACTTAGATTCACAGTGACGTTTATCTTGTGACAAGATCAAAAAGAACACATGGCACACACAGTTGAAACATATTCACAGACAATTTATTTTTGATTGAAATTATTTCACATCATAGTTGTTATTTTTCCTGTTGAAGATCTTTTGTATTTTTATTACAACAGCCACAGAGCAGCAGCAGCAGCAATAATAATAATAATAACCCAGCAGGAGAAGCAGATCAATGCGGAGAAAGACTGAAAAATAGAGAGAAACATGATGGGCACCTATTTTCCAGCTGCCAAAAAAGATTTTACTACAAGGAATTATGGGAAATATAGTTATTTTTTCAGTCTGTCAGATTTGTTAGGCTGTGCCACATCTGACCCTGTTCCTTCCATAACAACTGTTAAGACTCGAGCACAGCTGTACACAACTTGGACATGGTAGAAACTCTTTACAGTTTGTGTAGAATAAAAAACATCAGAGAGATAATAGACAGGAGAGAGGAATTGGGATGGGAATGAAAGCAAAGCACAGTGAGCTCCACAGGATACGGAGACAGAACAGAAGAGGCGTTTCTATTCAACCATTACATGTTCTACAGTAATACAAAAACCTTACATTTATAACCCTTGACATGCTGGCACCCAGGCTGGGCAAGTGGCAGCTCATAATGGCCTAGGGTGAGTTCAAGGACAGGATTTCCCCAAGACTGCCCACCTCTTTAAAGGAATAACTTGACATTTTGGGGAAATATGCTCATTCACTTACATGCAGAGTAAGATGAGAAGACTAACACCAGTTTAAGTGTGTGAAGCTACAGCCAGCAGCTTAGCTTAGCATAAAGACCGATAACGGGAAATAGCAATGGTAATAAGATCTACCTCTAAAGTAGGTGTGAGAGAAAATAGAAAAAAATGTATATATTGTGATATTGTATCAATTCTCAATCTCAATCTAATTGCAATATATGTCGCTTTGCTTACAGTATCGTGACATATTATGATTCGTAACCCCTGTATTGTGATACGTATTGTATCGCCACATTCTTGCTTACTCTAAAGCTTACTAAAAAAAGACAGCAATCTTTTGATCCTACTCCTTTTCATCCATGCTTTCTCTTTATGCTAAGCTATCCAGATGTAGCTTCATATTAAATGGATAGACATTGATATATCTCCTTGCTTACAGTATCGCAATATTTTATGATTCATAACCCCTGTATTGTGATATGTATTGTATCACCTGCCTACTCTAAAGCTACCTAAAAAACGGAGTATATGGGCTTATGTGGTGGGCTAATCCTTGGCTGGATGCAGTGACTTCCTGCAGGCTTTTCATCACTGTGAAATCTTTCTGCTAAGCTAAGCTAACCGGATGCACATTGATAGCAATCTTTTCAACCTACGCTTGTCAAAAAAGCGAGTCAACCTGTTTTTCAAAATGTCAAACTATTCCTTTAAAACATTTGGGATCAAATAAGGCTACAGTAGAGTTACACTGAACTGTTATCAGTTTGCTGATGTGTGGAACAACTTCATTTAAACATGATAATGGCCAGTCAGTGTGGTCCACCTGATATGATTATCTGGCAGGATTAGAACAAAATTCTTGGGGAAACAAAAAATATAAAAAACCTTGATATGAAAACTTAAACGATTAAATCTCAACTAGGGGCAGCTTCAGTCCAAAGGTACCAGTTTTGGTATTGGCTTTATAAAAAATCAATATCAATCAAACCCAAACTGCCTCGACCAATAACATCCTTCAAAGCTCATGGGTAGATCCTGGCAACTACCAATCAGGCAACAGTTAGATGGGATCTCTCCATTTCAGTCCTTAACCTCAGTGAGATAGTGATCAAACCCTTTATCATATTTCAAACCTTTTATAAAAACAAAATTACAAAATAAAAATACCAGATGACGCAGCAACATGTACATGCAAAAAAGACTAAACAAGAACACAGGAAACAAATGTTTGATTAAAGTGATCAAATCAAAGACGCTGGAAACTTAAAAGATATTACGAAAAACATAATTTGTTAGATTACAGTGCACTTTGTGTGAAAAAAAACAACCACACACACATTAAGATGAAGGCAACACCAGCCTGCCGACGATGGGAGGCCAAGAGAAATACAGAAAAAGATATAGAAGAAAAAAAGGATTCAAGAGAGGAAGAGAGGAGACGACTATATACACTTGTATATACATCATAGAGGATATGAAAGAGAGCACAAGGTCCTAAAGCCAGACCCAAAGATGGCCGTACACAAACCGAGTCTACAGGCCAAACAGAAAACTGTCATGGCACCCAATAAATAGGAAACAAAGTATCTCATATCGGACGGCATCCTGTCCTCTGCTGCAGCTTCTGCCTTGATTCAACATACATACTGGAGGTCGACGCAAATAAATAAAATGGATGGATACAGTCAGAGCGAGGCTGACTAAAAAAACTGTAGAAATCTGACTGGTCTTGTGTCTTCCCGGTCAATGATACGAGACAAATTAGCCCAAACCGTGCGTAGACAGAGAGGAAAAAGAGATTCTGACAGACTTGCAGTGTGTCAGGGCAGTTACCACATCGTATGAAATGTTGCCACAATAAAAAGACAACACTTTGAGGGAATGTAGACGGGGCAAATATGGCCAAAAGGTGCCTTTTTTTCAATCTTTTGTCCCTTATAGCCCATTGTGATATAATATGTACAATAACTTCTCTGATGAGACTTATTCATCCATACAGCCTAAAAATGTCACCCATGTATTATGGCGTAATATAAATACAGCAGAACAATTCAAAACAGGTGGTGTTACAGATAAAAAGATAACAATAGGTAACTCATCCGCAGCTCCACTAGAGGCACTGCGACTCCTCGCTCCGACCTCCACAGGCCAGAGGCGGGAGGGTCAGAGCAGTGTCTCCGTCTCTCCACAGGTTCCACTTGAATCAGTACTGAAACCACACTCATGTTGGCCTGACGAAACAAAACCATAACTAAATCTTACGAAGATATTTGGCAAGTGTCCTTTTCTTCTTTTCAAAAGCCGTCTCAAACAGAGCCAAAAAAAAATAAAAATAAGAAAATAGCAGAGGATATGAAAATATACAACTCTCAGCTGGTGATGAGTCTTGTTAACAGGTCCACTTTACAGGTCTACGATCCCACCATGGCATGGTACAGGGAGATCCATGTATGGGCGCCCTCTTGGTTGGCTTCTTGTGTTACATGTTACACAAAAAAAAGAAGAAAAAAAAGACAACAGGGCCTGTGTACTTCATTGCTATCAGGACAAAATCCAGGAGAGACAGAGTAAAGGAGGTTTGAAAGACACAACTTATAAATATTAGGCAGTCCCAGACCACCCAGCTACTGCTACACAACCGTCCTATTAAATAGTAATGGGAGATCATCAGTATGTACACTGAAAACAAATGAAAAAAGTCTAAACAAATGTTGCCATCGCCATTTAACTCTACAGCAGAGCTCCCGAAATGGTTCTGAAATGTCATCACTGGGGGTTATCTTCGAATATGTTTTATATAGAAACACACAATATATGAAAGCACAGATGTCTGGAAAAATATGTTCATTCAACTTGATAAAAAGCATTTTTTTTTCCTTTTTGTGTGTGAATGTGTCGTGAACGAGGAGTAGGCACAGTCCTCTTTTCTCTCTTTTCTCTTGAGGTAGCACCTCATTTACCCCAATTAAATTTGAACCTGAAAACTGAAGCCAAAGGTCGCGAGGGAGCGAGGGCCGACGACGTGATCGACAGTCCCACACGTCTGTTTGGAGCGCTACATTGCGGATCAGATCGGAGGCAAACTGGAATGTGAGCTGCTGTATCCGGCCTTTCGTCGCCAGAGGGTGGAAGAGAGAAATAAGAGAGGAAGGCTCTGAGAGGGGTGGATTTGGGTTTTCCTCATGACACAGACACACAGAGGTGGGAGGGCAATGGCCGGGGAGCTATGAAAACAGAGAGACCATATATGAAAGACAGGGCAAAGGATAAAGACAGAGAGAGAAGGGTCCCTTTTGTCACAATATAGCGAGTCCTCCGATCATGTCGGTAAAAACAAGGTCCAAGGAACATCTGAAACAGAAGTATGGGGAGCTGCGAGGTTCATAAAGATTTCTCATTTAGAAAAAAGCTGACTAGAAAGTTCCTTCCTGATGATGGCGTCACTACAGGGGTTGGTGATGATGAAGCTGATGAAGGCTCCTCCGCTGACGTCAGTGTGTCAGAGATGTTCTGGGTACATCATGTGATCCTCAGGCTGGGACGATGTCAGAGCTCCTGGTCTAATGATGGCGGCGACGGAGACAACATCGCCACACTATTTAATGTTGTGTGTATCTGAGGCTGTGTGCAGTGTGTGCATGTGTGCAAGTGTGTGTGTCCGGCTGTGTATGAGGGGGTGTGTGAGCGTGGCTGATCACCAGGCCTCTGTGTACCGAACATCGACATCTTTCAGGTTGGGCAGTTTAGCCTGCAGAGGAAGACACAGACAAATGGGAACTGCATCAACACCTTGACACGTACACTTTACAGGTCAGGAAGTTCTAAATAATTTCCTCATTTCAAAGAGGTTCCCTGGAAAGGACTATGTCATTTTGCATCTTTAGTGGAAAATCAGAGATGTCCCTAAAAGGAATTTTTGGCCACTTGTGGATAGCAAGCTGTAAACACACTGACATAGTATCACTTTATTAAGTTGTTGAACATGAACATGTTAGCAAACAATCGCCTATTTAGGGTGAAATGACCCCACCCCGATCACTACTGCACAGACTCTGTTTTCTTCACTAATTACTGCATGTGAATATGACAACATGAACATAAATTCAGATTTTTAAAATATAAATGCACATGATGGTGTGAGTTGTCTGGCAGTATTACCTTGAGGTCCTCGTATGTGTCAGCTGTGAGCTTGGTGCTGTTCATATTCAGACTGCACAGACTCTTCATGGCTGAAAAAGACAAACAGTTATAATTAGCCACAATTCATTTATACACCTACAAACAACTGACTATACACCCTCAACACAAGCTCTAACATTTCTGCATTAAAATGTCTATGAACACTTGACACGTGTACTGACATTATCTCAAATGTTTCAAACAATGTTCAAACTCAGAGAAATCTGTCATTTTATTCAGGTAACGCTGCGTTTCACCGGTCGCCTGTCGATGGCGTCATATCCCCTTTGTGCCTGCGTCAGCGT